AAAAGAAGTTAGGATCTGAACTAAAATCTGAGATTTTACAAGGTGTGTGGACATAAGAGCATGTGTTTCTTGGACATTTTTTATTTGTAAGTTAACAGGCATTGGAAAAAGCGGAAGATACCCTTAATTAGCTAAATTGTTTATATACATACATACATATATATATATATATATATATATATATATATATATATATATATATGAATGACATGAGATAATTGACTGTTAGAGGCTTAAAAAGGACTTGTAAAATACTGGAAGTAATGGTCTTAATACTGTAATGTAAACAATTATTTTCGCATATTATATCTGTCATTCATTCATTCATTCATTTCCTTTTCGGCTTAGTCCCTTTGTATTATTTCATTAAACAAGACAATTTTTTGCTTGTCTAGAAAATGATTCTTGATTTAAAAAGGTTTTGATATTTAAACAAGACAAAATTCTTAGTAAAAAAATCTAAAATTTTCTGAATATTTTATTTTAGATATTTTCATTTAGTTTTAGGATTTCTTTTATTGGGGATATTATGTTTTATTTTAATGAATAAAAACGTTTTTTTTTAATTAAGTGATTTTTTCCCCTTAAAACAAGAAAATAATCTGCCAACATGGTAAGCAAAATAATCTTATTTAAAAAAAAAAACAAGATTATTTTGGTCACCCCATAGGCAGATTATTTTGTTTGTTTTATGGAAAAACACATAATTTTGACTTAAGTCTTGTTTTGCAGAAATAGTGTCCTGAAAATGCTTCTTGATTTAAGGATGTTTAGATATTTAAACTACAAACAAGACAAAAACTTTTGCTAAATATTTTATTTCAGTTAATTTAATTTAGTTTTAGATTTTCATTTATTGTGAATATTGTATTTTATTTTAATAAAAAAACTCACTCAATTTTGACTTACTATTTCTGAAAACAAGACTTGTCAAGAAAATGCTTCTCAATTTAGGAATGTTTAGATATTTAAACTTTATTTATAGAATTATATATATATATTTATATAGAATATAGAATTAAGCCAAAAACTCTAAATAAGAAATAATTTTCCCAAAAAATATTTTATTTGAGTTATTTTTTAAGTGCCTGCCTTTAATTTCATTTCGTTTTAGGTTTTCATTTATTGTAAAGAAAACCATTTTTAAAATTAAGTGATTTTGTTTTCTTAAAACAAGAAAACTAATCTCACAATGTGGTAAGCAAAATAATCTTATTTCACAAAGACAATATTATTTTGGTCACCCCATTGGCAGATTATGTTGCTTGTTTTGAGGAATAACTCACTTAATTTTGACTCATTATTTCTGAAAACAAGAAAATATTTTCGACTTAGAAAATGCTTCTTGATTTAAGAAATTTTAAATATTTAAACTAGAAACAAGACAAAAACACTAAGTAAGAAATTAATTTTGTCAGTGCCTGTATTTAGTTTTCATTTTCCATTTATAGTGGATATTTTATTTTAGTGAAAAAAAAACCTTTTTGGACCTATATAGATGTATATCTTTTTTAACTAGACAGCTAGGTGTAATTTTGCAATGGAGGAAAGGTTTGGGAAGCTGAAAACAAACATACACCTCTTAAAGTCATAAGGTGCATCCCAAATCGCATGCTTACGCACTATTCTTTGCCATTTTATAGTATAAATAGTGCGTTCACACTGAAATATTGGTTTTATTCTAAAAATAATCAGAGCACTTTAAATACCCGGATGAAGCACTTATTCAACCGTTAAATAGAAGTGTGGAATGATGGACACTTCACACACTCAGCGGTTCCGGAAGGGGCAGAGCTCATGTTGGATTACTTTATTTATTTTGGATAGTGAAAGCAAAATTCTCCAACGAGAGTGATTATAGCGCCTCCCGATGGTGAATGCGGTTATACTCATAGCAGGTAGTTTTGTCATTTATTTCACTGATTTGGCAACCATCCAATGTCATCAGGGAAATGGTTTGAATTTTCACTATGTATAAAACCTTAGGCCCCGTTTTCACTAGTGCGTTTTAGTTTGAAAACGCATACGTTTTGCTATGATTACGCCATCTGTCCACACTACGCCAGAGTTTTCGAGCGCCGAAAATGGATCATTTTGGAAATGCTGGAGAGGCCGCTTTCATTCTGAAATGCTGCTGCTCTGTCTCAGTGTGGATGGGGGAAAACGATGACATCTGAAAATAGAGGCAGGGGTGCTTAGATTCGCTACCTGATTGGGGCTTTTGTGTCATTGCGTATCCTTCCCTATTTCGTCAAGCCCCTATCACATGACTATAACACATGGCTTTAATGCTACCGAAAGACAGCAGACCAGCCTTCACTGTAAACAACAACATGGACACAGAAATGGAAGCGTTGTTTGCACTATTGTCTGTTTAGGGTGCCATTGTGCAGTTATTCATTTGTTATGTTTAGTAACAACTCGACCTCGTCGTCTGTCCACAATAATACCTCTCATGCTTTCTTTGCCATCGCGTTCATTGTTCAATCAGCGTTTGTTGACTAACAATAACCAAATGCCGAGCGTGACACATGCTTTCTGTTTATACTAGAACGCGCATGCCCAGAGTGCGCAAATGGTCATGTGATATACGTTTTTGGTGGCGTAGTGTGGACGGAGATATGTTCAAAAATGCTAGCTAAAACGCTAGTGTGGACGCGGATCGTTTTTGACCTAAAACGCCATTTTAAAACTAAAATGCACTAGTGTAAACGGGGCCTTAGTGTTCCACTTGGGACGACACTACATACATATACTATGCTGTCGAGTGTGACAGTGCATAATGTACAGTGTGATATTTGGGAGGCAGGTATAGTTCGTTGTTTCTGCAGATCTTAGTTTGGCACTCTGGATGACATCACTAAAAATGGCAAGCAATGATTGGCTGGTAGTCTACGTGTATAGTCTGATCTGTTTTTTGACATGAATTTACGAGTCAAAACCCCATATTCTGACACCGGCTATCATAACAGACAAACTATTGTGTAGTCTGAACCCGGCACGAAAGCACAGCAAAGCTAAAATGCTTTTTATTGTGCATGCACACATCCATACACAAGAGAAAAGCGTCAAAAGTGGCTCATAGTGCAGATAAGCGTTAAGTGCTGGTGGTTGGTAGAAGTGGGATCTGGACCTCAATCATCCCATGTTCTCGAGCCCTAAACGTTAAGAGTGAGAAAATGAGTGTGAATGCGCATTTCTGAGAGCTGGCGATGTGTTGATGCGTTTTGCGTTGTATGTATAGTGTCAAAATGGCGCCGTCTCCTGCTTTATGGTCCCCAGGGTGGGACGGAGCAGCAGGTGACAGGTAAAAACCCGGTCAGAATGAAATGCATTTTTCATAGGGCTGATTTTCTCTCTGTTTATGAGCAGAGCTTGATCTCGACCCATCGTCGACCCCGGAGTACACTCTGCTTTAAAGCAGCACTGTATCAATTAAACATGCAGGACAAGGACATACAGAGTTCAGTGCACTTTTTAACCTGATGTTAGCAGGGTTTTAACTTGAGTTCAGCGCACTTTTCCGCATGCTTCATTGACCTTTACTTATGAAGAAGCCATGAGGAGTTGCTTTGGTGTGGCTTCGTGTCAGTGTTGTTGAACAGACAGAGTTTGCTTTGTTTTTTCCGTAATTATTAGTAGGGCCAAGGTATAATTTTTGGTGTTTCTGCATATAAATTAGTACAAATATCTGCAAATCTGAAACCGAACACAAAAAATAAAGGATGACCTGTGCAAAAAAAAAAAAAAAACACAATCAAATCCAATTATTTGGATTGCAAAGAGGTTCACTCATGTAACACATCTACTAAAAAAGGCAGAAAATATTATTATACAAATTGTATTGTCAGGGTACCCTCGGGATCCTCCAAATGAACTTCAAGGCTTTTTAAGACCCTTTTTAATACCATTTCAAATGAAATTCAACGCCAACTTTATACCCATTCCGACACAAGTATGAGGGGAAAAAGTAAAATCTGTATAAATTTTAAACCCTTGAAAATATTTATGTACAAGTGACTACATGAATTGAATAAAAAATTTGATTTAAATTGTCAGTTATATTTAATACATACACAACAAGGCAACACACATTTGATTTTTAATAAACAAATACGTTTGAACTTGGTGTTGAACACTATAGCCTACAGACTCTCAAGTCCTGTCAACTTCTAGTAGCAGATTTCAAATCACGTCTGCATAAAGTTCAATTCAATTCAGCTTTATTTGTATAGCGCTTTTACAATGTAGATTGAGTCAAAGCAGCTTCACATAAATGGTCATAGTAACTGGATCAATGGTAACATTCAGGTAACTGTAAAGTTGCCTGAATGTTTTTGTAAGGTTAGCATCGACTGAACAAAATGGTCTATTGCATTTACAACATGTTTTTAAGGTAATTTTTTGCAAACAATTTATATGGGCTGAATTTAAACAAATTAAGTTGAGCATTACTACATTTAATTACTAACCAAAATGGAACATTAGGAAAATGTTCGAAGAGTATGAAACTGTTAGCTGGGTAAGCCAATACTATTTTTGGCATTGGGGCTGCACGGTGCCTCAGTGGTTAGCACTGTTGCCTTATAGCAAGATGGTTCTGGTTCAAGTCCCGGCTGGGACAGTTGGCATTTCAGTGTGGAGTTTGTATGTTCTCCCCATGTTTGCATGGGTTTCTTCCGGGTGCTCCGGTTTCCCCCACAGTCCAAACACATGCACTATAGGTCAATTGAATAAGCTAAATTAGCCGTTGTGTATGAGTGTGTGTGAATGTGAGAGTGCATGGCTGTTTCCCAGTATTGAGTTGCGGCTGAAAGGGCATTGCTGCGTAAAACATTTGCTGGAACAGTTGCCGATTCATTCCGCTGTGTTAACCCCTTATAAATAAGAGACTAAGCCGAAGGAAAATGAATGAATGAATTTAAAAATTGGAATTATTCCAAAGTCTTCTGCATCCAACAAAAATGAGGTGCCTAACAATGTTCGCTCTTGTTTGGCAGGTGAAAGTGTGGTTTCAAAACCGCCGCACCAAACAGAAGAAGGACCAGACCAAGGACACAGACAAGCGCTCATCATCCACCTCCGAATCCCTCGCCACATGCAACATCCTGCGTCTCCTGGAGCAGGGGCGTCTCCTGTCGGTACCCGCGCCTCCTCCAAACCCACTGCTGGCGCACCCACATCCAGGCAACGGCTCTCTGCTGGGCAGCCCGTCTGTGTCCACCTCCTCTGGGGTGAGTAGCTCCACCACACCTCCCGGAGCTGGCAGCGGGACGTTCGGACTGTCGCTGTCTTCTTTAAGTGGCACTCCACCTTCACCGCGGCTGGGCGTCCCGCCGCCGTCCCTTTGCTTTACCATGCCTCTCCTGAGCGGCGCACATCACGAACTGCCATCGGGATACGGCTGCGGGACGTCAGCGTTCGAGCCCTACATGAGGATAGAGCGCAAGGATGGAGAGTTAGGAGGGAAGAAGACGGTGTCCTAAAAGCGCTCCTGTAATCTTCTCCCCTCTACCTGTCTCAGGGGTCTCACCTGTGCCGCGAACATCCAATCGGATGAAGCGGAGGTTCGCAAAACGAACAAAGAGATTGAACGGCTTTGGGATCCTCGTCTCGCTGGCCCGTCTTTGCGCTATAGTGCCTACAACCAAAATCAAGGCCAGTCGGACTCCGTCGTTTTGGTAAGGAGGAACGTTTGGGACCAAGCCTGTAATTAAGCATCGCTGTGTTCGCCGAATTTCGTTGACCACAGGTTTTCTTCCAGTTTTTGCATTGCCGTGTTTGGTGAAGAAAGCCTCAGAATTGAGGCCTGTTCGCACCAAGATTGTTAACGATATCAACATCCACACCAACGTACGATAATGCTGTTTATTAGAAGCACTGACGTTTTGTCGTCTGCTGCTTTACATGCTCTTTTATTTAATGCAGGATGATTTCTGATTAGAGATGCACTGAATTTTCGCCGGAAACCAATCCAAAAGTGCCATTTTCATGCTAAAGAAAAAAACGGTCAAAAATCTAAGCTGAAAAAAATTGCAAGGAAGCAGAGCACACCGTTGATTTGCTTATATTGATTATATTGATTTGTATATATTTATCATGTCCACATATATTTATGCTCACTAAAAAAGCAAAGTCCGCTCAAATAACGCACCGACAGGAAATTTATATGTAGTGTACTTGTATCTGCAGCTGCAATAGCGATACTCTATTATGCTGCCATGGCAAATTTAGGAATTAAAGTCTTTGCACACTAAAGTCCGATATTTTCGTAGGTGTTTTTTCGTATTCGAATGCAAAAAATTTGCCACGTAAACAAACCTTGCGCACTAAAAAAATGCAAAATATTTCGTAGTCAGTTCAAGCAGTGATATTGTCGTCTCCAAAGTAGAAAATTATATAAAATTATAGAAAATTATAACAGAGCAAACTTTTCTGTAACCCTAGTAGTGCTGTGCGCTATTTGTTTAACCCTTAAAGGTTACGTGCTGACCATAGACTGTAGGGTGCTGACTAACAGGTGCGTGATGCGTGAGGCCAGCAAACACGATGTATAGCCGTTTCACTTTACTTCAGGACGCATTAATGCCGCTCTGTAGGTCTATTGGAGACATTCATAAATATTTCCAACAAATCTAATAAATGCTAGAGACAGTCTTGTTACATAAACGAACTAAATCACACTTCAGCAGCATTTATTTGAGAGCGCACAAGAAGATCTGCGCTTGAGCAGCGTATATTTGAGGGGGTGTGCAAGAGTTTTGTGCACAAGCAGAGGAAATTGGCACGCAAGCAAAGAGATTTGCATGCTCCTAGGCTATTACATAAATGTGATCTCGAATTCTAATACTGCGCTCACAACATTTGTCATTGAAATAACGCCACTGGTAGTTGGTAGATCTAAGTAAAAAAGGCCTGCCGCCACAGCTGGAAAAAATCCTAGAGGAAACACTGTTATGTCTATGGGCAGTGTGTCAAATGTGTAGACACACACCAAACAGCAGCAGGGCAGAAGTCCAACCCAGTATTGGGGTTTTCAACTGTCCGCCACATTCTGTATTTAGCTTTTTGCTTGTACGGTGCCTCTGAACTGTTAAAAAAACCTCTCAAAACAATTGTTCAAATGCGAAAAGTAGAAAAAAAAATCAAAACCAGCTCAATACAATTCACACAACTTGATGTTTATTTATTTTATAATGTGGAAATTAGGGACAAAAATGTCTAATTCAGTGTGCAATGATCTTTAAACACTGTCAATAAAATGTTACTGTTTAAATTAAAGTTATGAGGTTAAAATTGATAAGTCTTATCAAATTACTTTATATTATTAAAAAAATTATTACCTCAAAGCATTTTTGTTTAGTTTTTTGACCAAGTTCATTCAGAATTTTCTTTTTCAGCACTCAATTTTCATTTCAGTGCATCTCTAATTCTGATTGGCTGTTATTGTTTTTATCATTTATCTATGGTGGCTGAGAGAGCTTAACGTGCTGCAATTTGAGAACGTGCTGCATTTTGTCACAGCGCAAACAACTAGAGAAACATGCAGCGCGTTATTCAGGTTGTTTACATTGTGACAAAATGCAGCACAATTCTTCAGCGGTTTGCGTTTTGATAAAAGCAGCGCATTTCTTCACTTGTTTGCATTGTGAGAGTTTGCAACACGTGTGCTGCCAAACTGATGAAGATCGTTTCTTAATTTTCTGTTGTTTTTTGTAATTGCATGTGTTTTCTTAAATTGCATTCGCATTAAGCTCTCTCGACCACCGTATTCACAGGTGGGAAAATTAATTATTTCTGCAAGTGATTCCAAGTCGTGCTGTGGACTGCAATTTTATTTTATTTATTTATTTAGTTCAGAATTCAGAATGATTTATATATATATATAAACTAGCACTACAGTTATCATCCTTTTGTGCGAACAGGCCTTTTAATCCTTGTGGACGAAGGAAAACGCTGTAAATGTAACTGTAACTAAGGCTAAAATATTTTGCAAGTTTGTTTCCAAATGGGTGTTTAAAAAAAAAAAGAAAAAAATGGATGAAAAAAAAAGATCAACATTGTGGTACGTTTTTCTGCTGCTCTAAATGAACTGACTAGGGGAGCTTTGTGTCGATATAAATGTGTGTCTGTATGAAAGTAAACGAATGAGAGACTGATCTGAGTGAACACGTGCAGTAACAAAAGCAAGGCACTGACCAATTTGATGGCATTTATGTTGTGCTGGACCTTGATGATGGGAGTTCAGTGGACAGAATGATTATTTATTTAGAAATTCAATTTGAGCGTTTTACAGGTCTTTATTAAAACTCAGAATGATTGCATCTAATATGTGCATCTCTCATCAAAGTTAAGCTGTCGCAATGCACACCACCTTAAAACATTTGCTTTTCTCTACTTGAAACAACATTATTGCCCTATTAACATGCTTCCTCACTACTTCCAAATGTAAAGTGACACAAAGGGCTAATCACTGACTTCCAAGACAGACTAGTAGTCACTTTGAGTCTTTCAGCATCTGCTTTTATTCTTTAAGATCTTAAATAATGTTTAATTATGAACTGATTGTGCATAATATCAGTTTCACACTTTGTGCACATGGGCCACAGATTACATGCATGTTCACCACTGAACTCTAGATCAAAACTATGCACAATTAGACATTTTTAAAACGTTTAAAAGAATAAAATCACAGTACTGACTTTTAGAAATCTTTTTTTTTTTTTAAACTCTCAACTTTCCATATCATATTAGTGATGGATGTCAACCATCTTCTCAGAGCCGTTGGGTCAGTTTGGCAACTTTAGAATTACAAACCCACTATTTACTCTACCTCAAGTGGTTCCAAACCTTTATGAGTTTCTTTAATCTACTGAACACAAAAGAAGATATTTTGAAGAATGCTTAAAAGTGCTGTGACCATTGACTTTTATAGTAGGATAAACAAATACTACAGAATTTAATGGTTACAGGTTTTCAGCATTCTTCAAGATATCTTCTTTTGTGTTCAACAGAATAAAGAAACTCAAGTAAAAGGAGAGTAAATAATAACATTTTACATTTTTGGGTGAACTAGCTCTTTTAACAGCTAATTATTACCCGAAATGCACTTTTGGTTAATGATTTTTTCCCCATTTTTCTGAAAACCTTTTTAAAATTGTTTAGCTTGTTTTTCCCAAACATTCCCAAACATTTCCATTTGTTAAAAAAAAAAAATATTTTTATATATGTGGCTCACCAAAAAACAAGTTCCACATGTTTGCATCACATAGTGCTGAGTGAAATCCTTATAGTCTGGTTTAGTTGAAACTAGTCTTGTATACAAACATTATACAGTCATTGCTCTTAAGAGTACCTCTAAAACAAGACGTCATTTTTACTCCACTTTCTGTCATATTTTTTGGAGAAATCTCTCAAAATGTTTGGTTGTTTTTCTAACATTATAACTGAGCACTAAAACTAAAAGAAGCAAAACCTCAATCAGATTTTTTTTTTGGACATTTGCATTTATTTTCTCCCCTTTCTGTGTGCAAAATTAATCAAAATGTTTCCTAAAACTGGTTATTTTGTTAACATTATAATTGAGGATTGAAACTAAATGAAGCAAGACCTTAAAAATCAGATCACTTCAACATTTGCACCCTTTTTCTCCCCTCTGAGACATTTTTTTTATATATGTGGCCCCAAAAAAACACCAAAAAACAAGTTCCACAAGTTGGCATCACAGACTGCTGAGTGAAATCCATATGGTCTAGTTGAGTTGAAACTAGTCTTGTATACAAATATAGTCATTTCTCTTATCTCTAAAAACAAGACGTTGTTTTTTACTCCGAGTTTTTGTTTTTTTGGTGAAATTTCTTAATGTTTGGTTATTTTTAACACTGTAACCGAGCACTAACACTAAACAAAGCAAAACCTTAAAAAGCAGATTTTTTTGGGACATTTGCACCTATTTTCTTGCATTTTTGTCAAATGTTTTCTAAAACTAATTGTTTTGTTAACATTATAATTGAGGAAATGAAATTTAAACCAAGAGAATTGAGAATGGGGGGAAATATTGAGAATTGATTTAAATGAAGCAATACCTTAAAAATCTGGTCACTTCAACATTGGCACCCTTTTTCTCCCATCTGAGACATTTTTTATATACTGTATGTGGCCCACAAAAAAAAAAAACAAGTTACACATGTTTTGCATCACATAGTGCTGAGTAAAATCCTAATAGTCTGGTTGAGTTGAAACTAGTCTTGTATGAAAACATTATACAGTCATTGCTCTTAAGAGTATCTCTAAAAACAAGACGTCATTTTTACTCCACTTTCTGTCATATTTTTTGGTGAAATATCTCAAAATGTTTGGTTATTTTTCTAACATTATAACGGAGCACTAAAACTAAACCTCAAAAGTCAGATCACTTCAACATTTTTCTCCCCTCTAAGACTTTTGTTTATGTATATGTGGCCCCAAATAAACCAAAAAAAAAAAA